TCGCCCCTCTGCGCCCCTCGGCCGCTGGGTTCCGAGGGCCCCGGCGCCTTCTTCCTGTGGTGCGCAGAGAAGGCCAGAGGAAGGAGTTTGTAAAACTTAGAGCTCACACCGGACGGCTTTCCTTTGCATTACCCTCTAAATCATTTCAAGGTGTAAATCGACGTCTACTCAAAAATGAAGGTGACAGAACTACCTCAAACCAGCAGACATGATTAGCTTCCTAAATATAGCCCTTTGCATTAATCATATGTATCCCAAGACTTAAAAGCTTGTTTCCACATTTTCAAATTTGCATTTTCACCAGATCCATAAAGCTCATCGATGTTAAATAGGTGGGCAGAGTGTAAGCAACCCCTGCTTGTCAAAGACTTGAAAATGTTTTATATGAAAATGAAACGATACAGTAGCAAAAAATAATAGACATACCACCTCAGACCAAATACATACTTTTCTATATTATATGACAACATATATAACAATCTTTTACTAAACCAAATGGAAATACAAACATGTCCATTTCAGAAACCTAATCCACTAGCACAATGTGTGCATAGTAGAACAGATTCCTTTGGCTTGATCGTGTCCACCCAATCTGGCTTTGGGGGAGTTGGTGAGGAAACAACAGCCCACTGTAACTTGCATTTTTAATCCCTCAAGCTGAAACAGTAACAAATATTGACGTTGTTGAAGTCGGTTCATTCTTCCTACCACTCCTTTCAGAACAGGGTCCAGAAGAAGGAAACCGTCTGAATTACACTCCTCTCTACGCTGTGCAAGGCTCTGGCAGTGATAACAACAGAGCAGAGGACTTGGCGACCTTGTAATGCGGTAAAGTACCATTTCTACCCTTCATTACTTCCCTGTACAGTGAAATACACTTCATTTGGAGAAGTTCCAGCAGTCATGTCCAGAAACTGCAAAAAGCAGAGGCCTCGGCTGAGCATTCTGAACTCACATAATCTAATGTATAGGTAAAGTAGAGGCCGCCTAAGGCTCATTTTAGAATCCTAAGGTCTCCACGGAGGGCCCTTCAGAGGCGGGACACGGTCTAACTGGAAGTCCAAAAACATGTCAAGAAAAGTACAAAGAGGGGAAGAGCGGGCAGCTTCTGTTGTGAGTTAGCAAGCATTCAGCTGCTGAAGGATGTTGTGGGGCGGGCAGGAGCACAGGCTGATGGTGGAGAAGACACAAAGGGTTCCACGTTGTACAGTGAAACAAAACAGTACAGTGAGTTCTTCAGGCATTTAGGTCGCTTGGGCCCTTCGAAGGGAAAGGGATTTGGATCTGAAAGAACTGCAAGGGAGAGGTTGCCATGGAAGTGGGGGAGATGATCCTACCCTAATCATTATCAGATTTTCTCGTGGGAGTGTGATGTTTGCAGGCAAACATTTGCTAACTCATTAAGGAAGAGTTGCTCATGAATCAGCTCACTTCTCATGATGGGCAGATACAGAGTTCTTAAGAGCATTTTAGGGAGCGCCATCTGTGGAGATGCTTTGTGAGAGACGAAAGAGTTCTCCAGTCTGGGTTAGTGTGCTCCACTAACTATGGTCTTCTCGCCTCTAACTTTGTTTCCCCTGATCAATGCACAAGACATAAAAGAAAGAAACTCCAATGACAAGCAGGTTGTCATCCTTTTGATCCTAATTATTCCTGAAGTTGTCTCAGCCTTTGCTTTCTATCCCGTCTTCTCCTGGTCCTACACTTCCAATTCTTCACTACATCTTTATATCATCAATAAACGTATTTGTCCCATTACCATTCAGAGTTCATCTAAGAAGTGAAAACAAAACATCTCAGTCCTCATTCTCATAATGTATTTTTTCACTATCCCTCAAAAACAGAGCTCTTTTTTTGCTTTACTACCTTTACAGCTCCAAATTCTTCATCTACTTAAAGAGAGCATCTTTTAACCAGTCCCAAACTGGGCCTGAAAATGTTTTTTTTCCAGGACAGTTGGTCCAAATGGTCCAAATGCTATTCATTCTTCCTTCACTAAGATATGCCTGGTGTCCTTTCTATCTTCTTTCCAAGTATTTAGATGCACTCATTCTCCACAGAATACATATTACTTCTACTCGGTTTACATCCCCTACAACTTCTAGATATCTTCTAAAGCTCAATTCAGAAACCACTTCCTTTTTCCGGTGGCCTGAAAGTACTAGATAATGTATTTTCTACTTTGTCCAAATCAGCACTCTGGTCCATTGCCCACAAGTACGTTTTTCCTGGATTATTCTACAGTCTCACCCCCAGGATCTGTGAGAAAAGCAACCATGGCCTAATCATCTTTATGCCTCTGGTTCCAACACAGTGGTTATTTATGGCACATACATAATGATTCTGGCTCAAGGAACGGCCCCATGCATTGAATGCCTACCATATGCCAATCTCAGGTGCATGTTCGCGTCACACCTGTGGGTTATGACTGCCTATATGTGGCAGATCCAGGAATGTAATACAGACCTGTTTAACTCTGAAGTTTCTTGATGTTATTATGAGCTTTGTTTGAAAACAGAACCAAAAGCCTTCCTTGGGGTCTGCTCCTACCCAGTAGGATAAATAAGAGTTACAGAGATAGAAGCAATCAAACCTAGTCCACGTTCTAACAGCAGCCTGGTCCCTCGCGCCATGAGCTTCATGGAAGCAGGGGCTATGTTAACCTCATTAACATGAGTTTGTGGCACACGGCAATCTGCCTGTCCATAAGCATAATCTTTAATAAGCATAATCTTTAATGAGTCAATCAATTGAAGTAAATTACCTGATCATACTCTCTTGCTTCAAATTTCAGGGGCTCTCCCTTATGCCTAGGAGGTCTATAAAATATAACCTTTCCCTACCTTGCCTAAGCAGCCACCTCTTGCCCCCTCTCCCTCTGCTACCAGCACTGCAGGCCATGGTTACCCTTTAGGAGGTCCCCACACCTGCTTCCTTCAGGCCCCACACCTGAGCAGATGCTAGGAATCCCCTGCTCCCAATGGTTCCATAATCATTGTTCAGATCTTAGCACAAAAGAAATTTCCTCAAAGAAGACTTCAATAGGTCAAGTTCACCCACTGTATCCTTTAAGGGTGCACTTTCAATTACAGGACTAATTCTATAAATGAATGACCATCTAAGAACTTTTTCTGGATTGGAGATCAGCAGTTAGTAACGGATCAGTTAACTTAGGTTTCTATCTGCGTGACAGGAAAGAAAAACTTTTAACACAAGTGTCCTGTGGGATGGTGTGTTTTAGGCCTAGAGCACCTGGGGCCTGGTGTCACCCTCCCTGCGGGGCCTAGGAAGCATCCCTTCCATGAGCCCCTCCCAAGCCGAGGGGTGATCTACAAATACAGTGAGTATCTGAGCTTTTTTAAAGCTTGTTACAGTAAAAGACACCATGCTAAGCATCATGGGGTAAGTGCGTTCAAAACTAGGGAGGGCACTGTGGGTATTCTGAGATGGCACTGTGTGGCAATAGTGAATGTGTCTTTTGTTGTGATGATCTTTTAAATGAAAACATTCATCATATTTTTTGATCACCCTCACTGATCAACCTTTTCCAGGAATTTCTATCAGATCAAAACATTATGGTATGTTCTCATCCTCATATTCTCTAAATCTGGCACCATGTGACTTCTGGCTCTTCCCAAAAGTCAAAATGACCATAAAAGGTAAACATTCTGAACGGAGGACATCTAGGCAGCCAAAACAGCAGCACAGCTAAAAACATTCAGGGAAGAGGACTTCCAGAACTGTTTTAGAAAGTGGCAAGAAAAACAGGATGAGGCAGGTATTCTGAAAGAGATTCGTGGCAGTGTGTCTTTTCCTGTACCATTTTTTAAGTTAAACGTTTACTGTATTTTTAATCACACCTTGTGTAAGTTACGCACTTGAGAATTGAGTTTGCTTTGCAAGCCAGACCTGGACTTTCTCTGACAGCGCCAGTGGACTCTTACCTCTCTCTCGGAGGTTCACTCCTAGACCTGGAGGAAGCCTGCTTCTGCTCCGGCCCCAGGGCCTTCGGGGATGGCTCCACCCCTGTGCTCCTGTCCTGTGCCGCACTGCGGGCAGCAGTGTCCTGGGAGGTGGCAGCTGCTGTGCTCAGTGGCGTCTGGGACCGTGATCGCTCTTGCAGTCTTGCTTTCTTTTCTCGGGGCACCTCAGAGCCAGCACCTGTAGCTGTGTCACTCAGGGTTCCGTCCTGACTTGGCTGCTGAGGGCCACTTCCAAAGAACCATGCCCCAGATTTGGTTAAGATTTCTTGTTGCTTTCGACACAAATTGCATACCCACATAACCTATTCAAAGAAGAGAGAACAATGTAAATTTTCTGTGCTATGTGGAAATAATTTATTTTCCATATATTATAAGACAAGTAAAACAGTTTTCATCTTCATGTTTTGCCTTGAAACTTTCTTGTCAAGTTGAATCTTGCACAAGTCACAGTGGAGGGTGGAAATGCTTGGACTGAAACTCATCTGAAACTAAAATGCCTTTGGGAAACCAGAGCAGAGCTTTTTTCTCATCTTTATTTTAGTAATTGTGAGAAGGCCTGGCATGGTGGTGCATGCCTGTAATCCCAGCACTCAGGAGACTGAGGCAGGAGGATCACTGTGAGTTTCAGACCAGCCTGGGCTACACAGTTCCAGATCAGTCTCAACTACATAGTGAGACCCTGTATCAAAAAACAAACAACAACAACAACAACAACAAAAACAAAATAATTCTGAGATTCCTTTTACTATGCATTTGTCATAGCTTTATGATTGACTCTGAAGTTTTGTGTAAAATATCTGTGAGTAGAAATATCCTACATGAGTTAGATAATTGATTAGAAAATTATTGTTTAAAAACTACTCTAGAACCAATATTTATGGATCTAAATCTTGTATTTCAAAGGATTTCAAAGATGTCTGCCTCCTCGAAAATCATTTATTATTAAAGTCAATAGTGAAAGTTATTCGTGTGGAACAAACTTAGGCATAAAAGACAAGGTCAAGCTGTATATTTTCTCTAATTTCTTAGCAATAAATTAACCTCGAGCTTATTTCATGCTATATAATGCAGTTTCCCAGGCACATATTTACTAAAGTGCAAAGTATGAGCCTGGGTTCATTCATATGTGACCACTCCAATGTAATATTTCCTTAAGAAAAGTATTTAGAATATTTAAAAAATGCTACTGCTAAATCACAAGATACCAGTACTTAAACTTCCATATCGCTGTCCTCTTGGTTACATTTTAAATGAATGTAATAATGAGGACAATAATCCCAACAAAAACAATGAAAAAAACACCGATAAGAGCAACAACTAGCAGTCACATGGCCTCTCCGTGAGCCTCCTCTTCAAATATAGAATGCTAAACAAAATAAACAATTCATCACATAAGCCCTTATCAGAATCACCTATAGAATATGGCACTTGCCCAATAAAGCACCTGCATCAACATCTACTTCAAATCAAAATTCAAGTGCCTCAGAAGCCCTGATTCTTGAGCAGGGACACGTCCATAGTAACACCGAGAGGCGCAATGCTCTGGTACCAAGATGTCACGAATACTGGCACTGGTCTCTTCTGCCCAGAACTCTGGCTGGGGACAGGAAATGCGCTCCCTCTTTGATTCTCTGGTTGCCTCTTTAGCTGACCAGACAATGACAAGAACACCTGAAATTGTGTGGCTCACAATGATCGGTATAACTTGTTAATATGTTAGAGCAACCAAGTACACTAATTAGACTGTAATTTCTTAAACTAATAATAAGCAAATTTCACCAACCATGAAAACTAATTACTTTTAACTGTTACAGGCATGTGTGAAAATATCACATTGAAACAACATTTTATAAAATTAATAAGCAGTTCTTAATAACATGTTTTTAAAAATAGCCCCCTTTCCTCAAAAATATTAAGGCATAGTTAGGGTACGTATGCATTTCCTACTGGGTGTGGTGGTGCACACCTGTAATCCCAGTACTGTAGAAGGCTGAGGCAGGAGGATCAGAAGTTGCAGCCCAACCTCAGCAACTCAGCAATTTAGTGAGACCTATCTCCAAAGAAAGTAAAGAAAAGAAGAAAGAAAAGAGAGAGAGGAAACACGCTGGGGAAAAAAAAAACACCAGTTCAATGCCCAAGGCCACAAAGAAACACTAGGGTGGGGGGAGATTTTCTTTAAAACTATATAGAAAACACAATAGAATTTACAAACATTAAAAAGTTCTCAAAATGAGATTAAGATGAATAAAAAAACAGAAAGGATCATAATAAAACTCACAGAAAGACAAATAAAGGATATTGTTCATTGCATATGTGAAGAATTTCTAGAAAATCATTATCACAATCATTTACTGTCTCAAATTTTTAAATATATAAAGCTAGACAAATTAAAAGATATTTCCAGATATGCCCAAGGTCTACATTTTGCATATGTGCAGAATTGCTACAAATCAGTTAAAGCAAAAATAAATAAATAAAACTACTACAATTAACTACAGTTACTTTCTACATTTTATCTAACTTCATTTCCAAGTTGGTCAAAGGTTTACAATTACTGCATAAGTAAAATCAGAATAAATACTTTAGATAATTGTTTTTAATATGCCTATTCTTTAAATAAACATTGTCATGCTCCATTTATCTTGTCTATTTATAATATTTAGAAAAAGTTCCAAAATTTCCCTATGACTTACTATACCAATTTAAAATCTGTATTACACCAGTTTAAATTTTGTACTTTAAAAAACTATGTAGTCAATCCGTCCTCTAATTTAAAAACAAAATTAAACATAAAAATGTTGAGATACTCATTTTTATTAAATGCTACCTCCCGATACCTTCGTTCAGTCATGCAAATTACTCAGACCACAAAGTTCACTAAGTAAGACAGAAATTCCTCTTATGAGTTGTACAGCATGCGATTACTTAGTGTCAGACCTTTAAACACAGCCCATGACAAATATAGGAAACAGGGCCAAGAGTGAGACAAGTATCTACAGTTATGTATACTTAGTATTCTCTTTTGGAACTAGTGTATTAAGTACCTTATTTGTCTAGAGGTATAATTCAAAAGTGGGTGGTGAGACACTGTTAACAGATTTTTTTTTTTAGAAAGAGAGGATAAGGCAGAACTATGTCAGACCCCAAATGCTATTTATTTAAAGAGCAAGCACACTTTGCTCATGTAGAAAATGTACCGTGCAGGGTTATATCCTGATTAAACGACCTGGGATGTATTCCAAACCAATCTAAATGAAAAAGTTCTGTGCAGTAATTTATCTTAACAGCTCACAGATGCAAGGCAATCAAATACAAATGCAAATGAAAGTTTGTTGTGATATAGCATGGCTACTAAAACTTCATGCTACACAGAAAAAAATGAAGAACAATTGAAAAGTTTACTCTGACCTTTTGCTCTGACAGCATTTTAAAGTATGTCTTCCTCCCCTTAATGAATCGTGAAGGAATACAGGAGACCATTTTTTAAAACCCACAGGATTTTTTGTTATCCAGTAGAATAGAAACTACACTTCTTACTAAATATTTACAGCAAATTCCATAGATAAAACTGAGTTTGGTAGGAAAAAAAAACTATTCGGATAGAAGAAATATTTTACTTGCTTTCACATGAAATGTTTACAGATGAAGATATACACAGCAAAAGAAACATGCCTTAGATCACTCTTTGTGATTGAACCCAGGGCCTTGTGCCTGCTGAGCAAGCAGGGGGCCACTGAGCCCCGCCCACAGCCCCTCAGTTCCTCCCAATGGCTCTGCTAGGATGATCCATCACTGAGAGTCCAGAATTCTTATATTAACACAAACATCTTGCTTATAAGAACCTACTTGAGTTATTTAGTGTTACAACTTAAAAATAAAAGCATGTAAGTTTGAAAAAAGACAAAAATAACGATTATGGGTTCATAGTTTTACAGATAAATTTTCATATTGAATCTACTATTGTACTTAAAAACACTTCATGGGCTGGGGATTTAGCTCAGAGGTGCTGTGCCTGCCAGGAAGGTGCAAGATCCTGAGTTTGGTTCTTAACACCGGAAAAGAAAAAAAAAAAAAAGCCTCACCATCATTTTGGAAAACATGTCAAAGAAAACTAGAGATAGAAAACTACTGGTGCTGCATTTTCTGAATATTTTTATTCATTTTCCTTACTTTCTCTATTCAGTGAAGAACTTACTTCAGCAGAAACTAGACAAAATTATGAAAATAATATTTCACATTTCTGATAAAAGTGGATGTGACAGTATGAAATAGATGACATCAGATGAAGATGAGTGAATTCTCTTTGGGTTTTGTTGCAGTGTGTGTGTGTGTGTGTGTGTGTGTGTGTGTGTGTGTGTCTTCTCTAAACCAGTTGTTTCTGTTGCTATTTTCATCATTCCCCTTGGAAGTTCATAGAATATATTATGTGGTTTTATTAAAGATAACATGACACAAAATTTTTCGTAATGAATAAAAACATTTCCAATCCCACTGTCCCACTATTACCATTTTGGTCCAAATTATACACAAATTTAGTGGAACTAAGATTCCATTCTACATTTCTAAAAGAGTCTAACACATTTTATTATATACAACACATGCTATAGAGATGGCCTATCACTGGCCTTACCCTAGGAATGCTTTTATTTTCTCACATTAGCAAAGAAATCTGGAGCAAAAAAACTATTGAACCTACTATTTCATATTTAAGGTCATTTGTTAAAATAATATGCGGGGAATATTGGGTAAATTTTTAATAAACAGTAATGGCTATTGTGCTGTCGTCAGTATGTGGTAACAGACATTTTTTGCATATTTTGTAAATTTGCTTTCCAAGTGTTGTGCCGAACTGTAACCAAGATTATTGGTTGTGCATATTAAAATCTGATGATTTAATAATGCTCCCAAACCCTATATTCTACAAATGTTTCCAATTTAAGGTGATGTGCAATCCCATTAATAAGTTTACAAAGGCATAAGCTCTGCAACAAAAAAGAACCTCAATGAAGAGAGATTCCAAAACACTTCTAGAAGTTGCTACTCATAGGAAAATGGTTGGAAACAAAAGGGAAAAATCTGCAGCTTAAACTACAGATTCAGAGTATTTGAATTAAGAAGGGAGCTAATGTGAGCAGAAGCCAGAGAGCTCTAGATTGAAAATGGCAGCTACTATGGCAGGACAGAGAGGGAAGTGGAATTAAAGGAGACTGTTTAATGTCTGATCTAGTAGTCTCTTCATTTGCAATTCCTCTGCTTTACTTTGGCTCAAAAAATGCTTTGATAAATACTCACTTTTATTTTT